GACTGCTTGAGGTTCTGTCTCAAAAAAAAAAAAAAAAAAAAAAAAAGAAAAGAAAATCTAACAGTTTTCAAGGTATGGTAGGCTAATTCTGTACAAGTGAAACATCAATATAAGGACTACCACATGATCGCTTTCATGCAACCTCATAATTGACATATACTATCAATAATGTAGTTTTTGGTCTTCTGGTAATTGGTTGAGATCTAAACTTTAGTAGTTCTCTTATAAGGAAAAGAGAGTTTGCATGCAGGATTTCTGTATTGGAAACTAAACTTGAAGATGGTGAACACCACTTGAGAAAATATTCTTAAAGGAACAGGTGGTAGGCATAATAACGTTCCCCAAAGATGTTTAAATCCTAATTCTCTAAACCCTAGAATTTAGGAATATGTTAAGTTTCATGACAAAGGGAGAATAAGGTTGCAGATGGAATCAAGTTTGCTAGTCTACAGACATAGAAATAGAAAATCTAGATACTTTTTTTTTTTTTTGTAGTTTTGCCAGGGTTGGGTTTGAACCCACCACCTCCGGCATATGGGGCCGGCGCCCTACTCCTTTGAGCCACAGGCACTGCCCAATCTAGATAATCTTATCTAGATCATCAGGAAAGTATAATTTGATTTTTGTAAACATGGAAGAGAGATGAAAAACAGAAAATGTAAAAGTGAAGTGATGTTTAAAACTCAACTGGATTTATTCTAGTTATTTTTTTCTTTTTTTGAGACAAAATCTTCTGTCACCCTGGATAGAGTGCCATCATATCACAGCTCACAGCAACGTCAAACTCTTGAGCTTGAGCAATCCTCTTGCCTCAGCCTCCCAAGTACCTGGGAATATAGGCATGAGCCACAACACCCAACTATATTTGTTTTCTTGAATCTTTTTTTTTGAGACAGAGTTTCACTATGTAGCCCTTAGCAGAGTGCTATGGTGGCACAGCTCACAGCAACCTCAAACTCTTGGGCTTAAGTGATTCTCTTGCCTCAGCCTCCCAAGTAGCTGAGAAAACAGACACCCACCACAATGCCCAACTATTTTTTTGTTGCAGTTGTCAGTGTTGTTTAGCAGGTTTGGGCCAGGTTCGAACCCACCAGCCCCAGTATATGTGGCCAGAGCCTTAGCCGCTGAGCTACAAGTACTGAGCCTCTTGAATCTTTTTTTATTAGCATAAAATTTTGTTCATTTATAAATACAATGGAGCAATTTTACATGCCTATCCCTCTTTTGAGTACTAATATTAAATGAGGGAATATAGAACAGAAAGTTTTCTGAAGAGAGGAAGGTGCCAATCAAATAGAAGTACAGCAAGTGTTACATACAAGCAACAGTATGGATTTCTGTTTGATGTATGTATGTCACGTTAGGTAAAAATTAATATGTAGGCTGTGTCTTCAGTAACTGTGCTAGTCAGAGTTATTCAAAATAATTAGGTGAAGTACATATGATGGCAGTGACAGACAATTTCAACTATTGAAAGAAAAAACATTGGCTCGGCGCCTGTAGCTTAAGCGGCTAAGGCTCCAGCCACATACACCTGAGCTGGCAGGTTCAAATCCAGCCCAGGCCTGCCAAACAACAATGACCACTACAACCAAAAAATAGACAGGCGTTGTGGCGGGCACCTGTAGTCCCAGCTATTTGGGCTGGGGCAAGAGAATGGCTGAAGCCCAGGACTTGGAAGTTGCTGTGAGCTGTGATGCCACTGCACTCTACCCAAGGCGACTGCTTGAGGTTCTGTCTCAAAAAAAAAAAAAGAAAGAACATCCATGATAGAAAGTCTATTGATTTTTCTTCCAAATTAGTTGAACACAACACTTATGTTACCACCACTGAAGACTACCTTTCTCTTCCTAGTTGGTATTCGAAACTGAAGACTACCTTTCTCTTCCTAATTGGTATTCGAATCTCACCGACCATGTTCATTCCCTACCCAGGGCGACAGAGTGTGACTCTGTCTAAAAAATAAATAAATAAATAAATAAATCTAGTTGCCAACTGGATTAATTCACAATGGAATGTTGACTTAAAGTCCAAAATCCACCCATGCAATACACAAACAGAATAAAGAACAAAAAAAAAACACTTTTAAGAATATTTGGCAAATCTTAATACCTACTTATGACTAAATTCTTAGCAAACTAGTAATATGCAGGAACCTTTCTAGACCTACAAAGGAGAAACTGAAAAACCACAGCTAACATGATTATAAAATAATTTATATTTAAATTTTCAAACAAAAACGCCCCCTTTGTAACCATATTCATCACAAGACTGAAAATATTCTCCACAGAAATTATGTAAGAAAAATAAGATTATCCACAGGAGAAAAATAGACGTAGAATTATTTTAATTGTCGATAATGTAAATTTGCATATTTAAGGTTGTAAGAAATTCCCTACAACTCACCAAAATGAATAAATGAGTTCAGTGGTCACAAGACTGCAGATCAACACACAAAAATTCTGTATCTTTCTTTATGTACTAACAGTGATTAATATGATAATGAAATTAAGAAAACAATTCCACTCCTTATGGCAAAAAAAAGAACATTGAGAAACAAACCTAACAAAAGAAGTGGCAGGCTTTAAACCTGAAAAGTATTTTTTTTTAATTTTTGATGAAAGAAATTAAAGTACTGAATACACAAAAACATACCTAATGTTCAAGGATAACAATATTCAATAAAGTTAAGGTATCAATGGTACAAAAACTGATTTCAAGTCCTCTGTGGTGTGTCAAAATAACAAAATAGGAGGCACTCATAATGAACAGGACTCTAGTATCCGCGGTTCCTACCTAATAATACCAACATCTAATTCAAACGCATTTTTATAAATTACTAACTTAAAAACAAAATTTAGGCTTAACCAACCATAAACTACCAATTAACTTCCAATCACATAACCAGAAAATAGCCACCTGGATAGTCCAATAAAACGACTACATAACTAGGACCAATTATTGAATTTGGTTTGCTTCCTCAGGAGCCTTGTAAAAGCCTTTCCCGGACCGTGCGGTGGTAATCCTAGTGCTGTAATACTAGGACTCTGGGAGGCCAAGGCAAGCCAATGACTTGAGCTCAGGAGTTCTAGACCAGCCTGACCAGGAGCGAGACAGGTCACTATTAAAAATAGACAAACTAGGCTCGGCGCCTGTGGCTCAAGCGGCTAAGGCGCCAGCCAC